TGGAGTTTCCAGGAGCCTTATGAGCTTTCAATTTATGAGCAACCTCATCGAATATTTTCACGTCCACTTCTGAAATCACTCCACCTGCTACAAATAACTTACTGATGGAAGCGAGAAGGTCTAAAAATCCAGGGGAAATTTGGGGTTATATTCAGAAACAAAGTATCACAATTATAAAAGGAAACTATGGCATGGCCATGGTCATTTGGTGGTGCCAATTCTCTATGTCCATAGATGTTAGCAGAGATTGGTCAAGAGAGTCCCCTCAGGAGTCAGAGGACCTGAGCTCTGACCAAGTGGTTGCCACACTAACTTGCTTCCTGGTGTCTGTGGCTTGTTCTCTGGGTGCAGGGTCCTGGGAGCAGGAACTGATGCATTTGTACTTAGATAAGCCCTTCAGGGATCCTGAGTCATGGTAAAGGCAGAGAGCCTTGTACTGGAAATGGGCTTGATACATTTATCCTCACCTTTGTTTTTGTTGAAGGAGGGGATATGTTCAAAGGAAATCTGTGTCTTATTATTATTATTATTATTTTTGCTACAGTCTCAGTACCTGGTACAAAGCATGGAAAAGTATTGGTGCTCAGTACAGGGAAAGGACTGAAGAGGAGTGAGGAGGAGAGCACTGGAGAGAGTTTCTAGACAATGTCAAATATTCATTTTGCTCACAATATAAATGTTTCTTTCTTTCTTTCTTTTTTGTTAAAGCATTGATTCTCAAAGTTTAGGGATTTAAAATTCACCTAGAATGTTTGTTAGACATACAGTACTGTCCTCATTCCCAGACCCCATAAAAGGTAAGCCCAGAGTGTTACCAAGAAGTTATATGTGCACACTCAGGTGATGCAGGCTGTAGCTTCCCTAGAAACCACCAGATTCATTTTTTTCACCCGACCTTTTTGGTATGATTCACCAGTGACATGGAACCCAGAAACCACACAGCTGTTTCAGAATTCCTTCTCCTGGGACTGACAGABGACCCAGCCCTGCAGCCCCTCATCTTCAGCCTGTTCCTGTCCATGTACCTGGTCACCATCCTGGGGAACCTGCTCATCATCCTGGCCGTCAGCTCTGACCCCCGCCTCCACACCCCCATGTACTTCTTCCTCTCCAACCTGTCCCTCACTGACATCTGTATAAGCACAACCACCATCCCCAAGACGCTGGTGAACATCCAAGCACACACTCAGAGCATCAGTTACTCAGGCTGCCTCTCCCAGCTCTGCTTTGTCTTGATCTTTGGTGGCTTAGAAAATTGCCTCCTTGCAGTGATGGCCTATGACCGCTATGTGGCCATTTGTCACCCTCTGAGGTA